ATTCATGAAATTTCTGACAGTTGCGCGAAAAAAATATCGGTATATTTAAGTTATTATATAATGGACAGTGATAGCGACCTGGAAGTACTTTTTCCTCCAGAAATAAGGGAGGTGGCGAAAAATATAGAGTTGAATTTGTTGCCGGAGAAGTCTCGGATGAAAAATAAAAGAATAATAAATGTTTACGTCAAATGTTTTATTCCCATTGAGTATAATCACTTTGCTGCCTAGGCAGCAAAGTACCCACTTTGCTGCCTAGGCAGGAAAAGTAATACTTTGCTGATTGATATGTGTCAGCAAAATTAATATTTGCTGCCAATCGGGGAAAAACAATATGAGCGGCTATTCTATTCGCCAGCATATATAAGAGTGCTATGGTTGTCAAACTTTGACATACCTATCAGTCACTCAAAAATTTAAATGTCTCGTTTTGGGTCAAATTCCACTACGGAAATTCTTAATTATGTAAGCGAATCGATATCAGACAATAACAAGGAGAGTAAAGAGTCTGTCTGGAACAATTCATGTTTTTTTTTTGCCAGCAGAAAAACTATGAATTTCGTGCGACTACCCCATCTCTCGTGATTGCCCAAATCCTAAAAGATTGGGTGAGGAGAATGGTAAGAAATACTAGAAATACACAGTTGAAATTGATATGGAAAACTATAATATGCAGGGAGGTTACTTCAATGAACATAAACGTTAGACAAATCCATTTGAATATATCGAATTCAAAGGTGCCAGGGATGCGCATAATGCAAAAAGGTGAAGCCCACAATATTTTCCTCAAACAAGAAAGGAAAATTCAGAAGCTAAAACTTTAGATGAATTGATTACAACTATTGTACGTAGATATGATGAGAATACCCCAGACGGCTTTCAGAAGAATTTTTATTCAAATAGTATCTGCAGAATTGTAACTTCAATAAAATGTTGAAACTCGTATGAACCAGTATTTTTGCACTGTTCCTGAAATAATCTTCCTGAATATCACTCGACCATGACAACTAGAGACTATTATTTTCGTTAATTCATCTCGAGTAAATTGTATTTTGGGACAATCCAATTCGACCATATGAACATAAATAATCATAGAATAACTCCCTCGAGCTAAAGTTCTCGGAAGTTATTCAGATTATTAATGTTCATATGGTCTCATCAGATTGTCAAAATACAAGGTACTCTAGATAGAATTATGACGAAAATAATAGTCGGCTATTTGTCATGGTCTCGGGATATTACCTGCGACTATCCCACTCATCACATAATCTGACCAATCACAAGCCAGAGACAAAGTGTGCTTATCGCAAAAACATAATGTTAGCGACGATGTTCAAATCTACGATGCCTCCATTTAGAATCTTATAATAGCCTTTCAATTCTGATTGGTCTATCAGCGTTGATGTTTTCAACGATGTAACCATGGATAATAAAGCAAAAAGTCTAGATGTAACGCCTGGAAAGCAAAGCAAAATCTGTCAGTTTGGCATAAAATATTGATTCCTGTCCTTGTCAGAATGATCACTCATTCATGAACAATGCTTCTTATGCTTCGTGAACGTGAAATAATTCAGCGAAATACAACACTCTTCAGAATATCTTCTCAGAATCATCTCGAATATTCAGAACATCGTGATATTACTAACTTATGAAAAGTTGAACTGTTCTCATAATCTCATATTCAGGGAGTTATTAAAACAAACCATGACTATAGGTACAGTGGTCTCCGAATATTTTGACCCTTGGCTACAGCTTCTACTATACAAGGTGGACAAACATTTTGAATACGAAAGTTGATTAGGTACTATCTTTTGGTACACCTTAAATGAACATATGCAAATCGCAATATAGAAAAAAAGAGTCAATTTTTTTCATATTACACATTGTATAGTTCCAACGGTTGTTGGAGATTGTTTTCGCCTGACCAGGAATAAATACCAAGTGATTTAAATTCGAGTAAATGGAGGCAAAGTTGTACAATGGAACTTGATTGAAATCAGAACAGTGATATTAACCAAAAAAAAATTATAAATAAAAACATCAATCACCTATGGTCAAAAAAATTAATGATTGAGAAAATGACCGTTGATCCTGAAAGGGTCGTTAACCAAGTCTCTATAAAAAAAATTGAACCCGCTCTATATTATTGTCATGCCATTCAAGGAGTATTTGAAAAACAAACATTTTTCTGATTACAAGTAACAACCCTCTATGAAAATATTCGAAGCGCAGTAAAACGGTAAAGATGAAGATCCTCTCGTAGAAAAATTCGAGTAGTCGGTTTCTCTAAGATTTTATATATTTTTGGGGTGCTGAATCTGAATCTAAAAAAATTCCTGGAGCGTTTCGAGATATTCGCAAAGAACAGCGAAAGTTTGGCAGCTTTTGCAGTTTTTTGCCAGTAACTCGCAGGAAGACCATCCTATAAGAAGTTGGAGTAGATGAAATTCTCTATATCTAATTTTCATTTGATTATGAATGTACTACTGACGGTTGAGAAGCTAGAGCAAGGGAAAATCAGACCAAATTCGCGTATTTTGCAAAAATAGTATTCTTTGTCGGTTCTCGTAGATTATTCAGAATCTATGCATTTCTAGAAGACACAACCAACACTGCCTGATGTGGAGGAGTCCTGATCAAGTGAATTTATGCTTATGTCAGCATGTAACTCGATACTTTATTTGTCATACTACTCATGTATATTTACATAAACTAGGTAGAATTATTTCTTTCACATTTGCCGATTGTAATTGAGTTGGTACCCTTGAGCGAATACCATATCTGCTCCACCTGCACCATCACCACCTCCAGAACCAGATCCTTCAGGGTATCAACCTCCAACAAACGACGATGTAGCGACGTGTAGATTGAAGAAATTATCCTTATCCAATAATGGTCATCTATATCCCCATACTTGAAAGAGACGTGAAACCTAGGATTTTCTTGACGGTTGAGTTGTTCACCAGAGCAAGCGTCAGGTAGACCTGTTCTTAGTCAGCCATTGCCAAACTATAGTACACTACATATATTGTTATAGCTTGTGGATGAAGGACTAGCTAGTGAGAAGCAAGAGCAAATTGATAATTCACTAAAGTTACGTATTTGCAAAACAATAGCAGTAGGTCCTTCGTAGATAATTCATAATTTACGTATTACTCGAGACAACACATCATATACAAAAACCATCGATTCACCTGTTGATCTCATGTGAAGTTCGTTAATATGCGAGAAGTTGGACGTATGATAAAACGCTCAGAAGTGGAGACGTATGCTGGTCGTAGTTGCCACACTCAAGTTCATCCTTTCCACTTGTTCGATTCGTTCAATTCACGTTTCACCTATATTCTTGAAAGCTCTGAAAGGAATGAATATATCATAGTTTTGTCTTTGTGTTCTGTGTGGTGAGGGGGCCATGAAAAATTGAAAATTATTCTGACTGCTGGTATAATTGTGTTGAAATAATTCTGATTGATAAAGGTTTTCTTTGGAGATTTTGAAGAAACACGGGAAATAACTACCTATTCAAACTATCAAATTATCCATTTTAGGATAAATATGTATTGAAAACAATCTTCGCTTATGTGCAAAGGTTCCAGGGCATGAGGCAGCTGGTCGCCTAGCAAAAAAAAGGTTCACAGTATATATTCTTTGGTCCTGAGACTTTCTGTAGAAAAAGCAAATGTCATCTAATCGCAGTGCTCAGAAGATGGGAAGAGAGCAAAGAAGCCTCGGTGAGCAATTCCAGGTCAACGAGAGAAATGGTCATCAACACTCAGTTCCAGCAAACCAGAGCTAAAGCACTGCCCTCTGAGGTATCACTAAAAAAATAGGCCTAGCAGGCATTTGAGCTTGCCACATTTGTCACAACGTGACAAAAACCGCGGAACACACACCTACCCACTTTGCTTCTGCATGTAATGTTCTATATAGTCCGCTGAAGGCTGAACCACTTAAAACAGGTCAACCCGATGCCTGCAAAAGTGTCAAGTATCAAGAAAATTTCAGGTCCCAGTAGAAGTCTAGGGTTATAGAAGACAATAAGATGAGGGTATTCCCTGCAATCTACAGTCTAACTGTCGTCTGGTGGGGGTTGGTACCCTGAAGGATCTGGTTCTGGAGTTGGTGATGGTGCAGGTGGATCAGATCATGTTCGCTCCAGGGTACTCTCATCCTCTATCTGGTGGTTTATGAGAGGAACAAGCTAGGCTTCTTCCCCTCCGCTAACAAGCTAGTTAATGTAAATACACCTAAAGGTGGAGACAGACCAAGCAAACATTGTTGTGCAACAGTTGAACAACAGGTGGGCAACTGTTGGGCAATACGTACAAACTGTGCATACTTGTGTGTTCCTCGAGTGTTGTTCCAGTGTTGTACAACAATGTTTGCTTGGTCTATTTCCACTTTAAGTACTGTAACAAATCAAGAATCGAGTTACACGCTGACATGAGCAATAACTCATATGGCCAAGACTCCTCCACATCAGGCAGGGGGATGGTTCTTCTAAAAATGCGTAAGATTATGGATTATTCCCGACGAAGAATACTATTTTTTTGCAAAATACGCAAATTTTGTCTATCTTCAATTTGCTCTAGCTCCTCACTCATCTACTGCAACTTTTTATCGAGTGGTCTTTCCGCTAAAATGTATATATAATTTCCTAGTCACAGGCAAAAAACTTGAGAAAGTGCGAAGAGTTCACTGTTTCTTGCGAATATCTCGGAACGCTCCAAAAAATGTTGATTGCAATCTTCAGATTCAGATTCAGCACCTCCGAAAACATGTAGAACAGTGGGAAAACCGCCAACTTGAATTTTTTCTACGTGCAAATACCATTTTATTGTTTTATCTACTTTCCTAATTGCCATTCATGAGAATAGAAAACAAAAGTGGTGAATCTAAAAATGTTCATATTCAGATGCAATAAAATAGAAGCATTGTGATTGATACGCCGTCGTCTATACTGTATCATACAAATAATTTCATTGGATTTATTGTTATAGGTCGTGGTGGTGTTAATGGTATAGAACTCCAAAACAATGGCAGCGGTAGATCGAAAGACCCCCTTAAACTTGTTATGAACCCTCATGGACAAGTCCAAGATATTTTCTCGCTGAGGAAGCAAGGGTTCAACGTAGAGCCTGATCTACTATCTCCGGAAGTTTGCTTGGAAATTGTGAAGGGCCTTCACTCGCCTAAAGGAAAAGGTACATTTCAATAATTCTCTCACCGAATTTCTTCAAGTCAACTATAGGTTTGTTCTCGTTCACAAAGTTGACAGTCTTGAACCATTAGAAGCATGCGCAGTGACAAATAAGTGTTCGCGTTTTCTCAAGACTATTTCGAATTCCACAGATCGTATGTTTTTGTATAAGATATAGTTCGGGATAGTTTCGAATCGGTCCAATTCAGTATTCGAGCCTTTTTGCAAGAGCTGTCCATAACTGTCGTGAATGATCTTATGATAACAAACGTTTTTGAACATTTCATCTACTGGAAATCTCCAAGAAAAATCTGAAGAATGCTTGTTTTGAATGATCATTTTTAGTTGGTATATAAGTGCAGCAATATTTTAGTGAGAAATGGTTTTGCTCCTGAATTTAGGAATGATTCCATATTAACAATAACATAATCCGAATCTCAATATGCCCTCGTTCCACGTGAGTCTAGGCACAGCATATTATTTTCGAGAAAGAAGATGAGTAAACGGGAGAACGCGTTTTCGTTTATCTGGTGCCAAAACTATCCCAGACTTGTTTCGGATTCAATTTGATTCTGATTCTGCGCGGGCTATAAAACGTTGAACAATAGGTTTGTTCGCGTTCACAAAATTAACAGTTCGAAATCATCAGGAGCATGTGCAGTGAAGAAAGAGTGTGAGAGAACGCTTAGGATTGTTTCGTAGTTCACAGATCACGTCTTTCATTTTTATACCAATTAGTTTGGGATAGTTTCGAATCGGTCCAACGCAGTACGAGCCTCTGGGCAAGAACTGTCCATGACTGTCGTGGATGAGTTTGGATGCGTATGCGTTTATGCTACAGATGTTCAACCTCTAGGCTTTCTTATGTTGAGAGAAACTTTTGAACAAGATGAAGAATGGAATTATTGAAAAAAAAATCAAGATTATAAACAATGGGCAATGGGCTTCATCATCGTCCTATCTTCAAGTTCAGATGATGACAAACGTTTTAGAACATGTTATTTGCTGGAAATCATCGAGACCTCTTTGGAGAATAGTGGTTTCGAATGAATCTGTACTCAGATTGAGAATTCAGGGATCATTTTTGGTATATGCAGAAGTACATGAATATTTTAATGGAATAGGTTTATGTTCAGGTCTTGAATTTTAGCGTTATTTCATGATTACATCATCATAACCCTATCCTGAATATGTTCGATCCACGTGAGTCAAGATACAGCATATCATTTTCGAGAAGGAAGAGAGAACGGAGAAAGTGCGTTTTCGTTTATCTGGATTCAAAACTATCCCAGACTTGTTTCGGATACAATTTGATGCGCACCTGATTCTGCGCAGGCCATGGACCGTTAAACAATTTGGAACACGAACAAACCTCATACCAACTAACATTTTCCACACAGACAATTATTATTACATACCTTTTTTTGTTAGTACCAGAGCTTGGCTCAAAGTTATGTATCAAGTGATGTCCATATACCAGGTCTTCCAAGTTTTTGTATACAGACAATATCTCGCTCATTCTACAAGATGAATAAAAATTAGGGAAACTACTTTGAGTGGCATCGAAGTACCTTCCTATTGACTTATTCGATTGAAAATTTGATTAAAATTCATGAACGTTCACCAATAAAAGTTGTTTTCATTTCGATTCTTCACATGTCATTGTGTCTCGAATTTGAACGATCTAAATTGCCACTTTCAGTTCTCCATGTTTTCTAATTTCTACAAAACTTTAGTAACATTCTATCCAATCTAACTCCATCTAAAAAGACCTTCCTCAAAACTATTTCCTTCTGAAAATGATTCCCAGACACACTAAACAAATATAAAAAGGTTTTTTCTCTTACAATGTCGCAATTTATGTCAATAATATTTTCAAACTATATATTACAATTTTAGAATTATCGCGATGAGCATTTAGTTTTGAATTCCAATAATATTTATTCGAAATTTGATACGCTTTGATACTCCTGCTTTCTTATACCTTGATTGAAAATAATGCTTTTTTCTCTTTCCTCCCTCTTTTTTTTTCTTCCTCAGTTTCTTATATTCCTTCTATTTCCATCGTTCCTTCGAAATCACTGTGAACGTTGACATTAAAATGAGTCAGTGCGCTGTGATAGATGTACGAAAAACTGTCGAGTCTACAAATTGACAGCCGAGGCCTTAGCCGAGGCAAGCAATCAGGCGAAACAATAGACAGAGTTTTTTTGCCGAGGTGCATATTACATGTTTTCGTTGACCCCAAAAACACTTGTATCTACATCACGGTCCTATTCACACGTGAACTCAATCGGATATCTTGAATAATCAATTTGACAACAGCAAATTCGAGTATTGACAGTTGTTGTTGATGTGATCAACTTAAGATCAATAATAATGTAGGTCATTACAATGATGAATAAGTGTCGAAACATTTTTCAGTAGGTCATGAAATGTTTCAGTAGATCAGTATATCAATATGCAAATCAGGAGCTCTACTAAACATTCAGTAAAACTGGCAACCCTGCTTCGTTCGAAATGTATTCGCTGACGATAATTTAGTGTCTGCGGACGAAGAGTAGGTGCTTGCCTTCAGGAATAGTCGGCTCTACGTTCGGAAATAAGTACATGAAATGTGATTTTTCGTAGGGGTCGACGAAATAGTTATTTTTGTACCTAGAGCGCGAAATGCTACTTTGGTCATCGAGATCTGATTTTTTTAACGAGGCGTAGCCGTGTTGAGAAAATAGTCGAGATGATTCAAGTATTTCGCGCTCGAGTTGCAAACAACATTTTTACTTCAAACGTCAAAAAATATACTTCTAATAAGATTGAATATGCTCAGATTTATACGAGTGTTTCATTGGGAAAGGTAAATAATTCAACTGTGGATAGGGGTCACTGATGTGATTCAAGAAAACCCATGGTTAATGGGTCTTCGACTTCTTATAACCGAGATATAGGATGTTTCATCAATTTTGTCCATATCTTCATGTCTCATAACTTTCCAACCAACCTGTATATATTTTTTAAAAATTGGTACACTTGCTCAATCTACCCTGTGGAATTGATTAAGGCAACAACAAAAGATAAAATCCAGATCCGGCTTCCTTTAAATTCACAAATTCTTTCTGCCAGAAAACAACACCCTATATATATTCGAATTTTTGTTTTTTTTTTGCCATATCTGAAAAGAACATCAAAATTTCTATTCAACGATGTGCTTTTTATTCGTGCACAGACGATTTTAACTATTCATATTATGTGCTCAAAATATTATTTTTGCTCATTTTGGGGTACAAAATTGGAATCAGACGAGATTTATTAATTTTATTACTTCTTATTCAGTATACGTGAGTATTACCTTCAGAAGGAGTATTTCATATCGTTCTTCATTCCAGACTTAGTTGCAGGTCCGTCATCAAAACTATACAGGGCTTTTCACGATGAGCGTTAACTTGACGTTTTCGGCAAACCAGGCAACGGATAAATCTGAAATTTCGATGGTATGTATAAATTAACATAATCTACACGTCTGAAATATTTGAAACAATCCGGCGTTGCCGCTTCTACTCGAAAGTAGCAGTAACTTTGATTTTTCAAATAGGACACCCCAGATGATTCCTGAAGAGCTGATTTAATCGATTCACAAAGTTCGAGGTCTAGTGGGACTAATAACTGAGATATTTAGAGTGAGAAAAATCGAGATGTTTCAACTTTAGAATTATTTTGCGATAATATTCATTATTGATCAAAACGGCTTTTATGACCCTATCTAAACTTTGTATCTATTGACATTTAATCGGAACAAATACAGGATGGTTCATAATTCAGATTTCTGCACCACCCTGTATCTGTTTCAATTGAATATCGAATGGAAAGTTGAGATAGGGACATTGAAGCCGTTTTGACCATGCAATAATAAATAGTTTCAACACAAAACATTTCTGAAGTGGAAACATCTTGATTTTCCACATCCTATATCTCAGTTATCAGTCCCGCTAGACCTTGAATGTTTTGAATCGATAAATTCTGCTGTTCAGCAAGAATCCAAGAATGTAATGAAATACAGGGTGTCCCATTTGAAAAATCGAAGTTGCTGCTACTTTCTAGTAGAAACGGCAAGGCCGGATCGTTTCAAATATTTCAGTAGTGTAGATTATGTTAATTTATACATACCATCGAAATTTCAGATTTATCCGTTGCCTGGTTTGCCGAAAACGTCAAAATAACGCTCATCGCGAAAGGCCCTGTGTATAGTTTTGATGACGGACCTGCAACTAAGTCTGGAACAAAGAACGATATGAAATACTCCTTCTAAATGTAATACTCACGTATACTGAATTAGAAGTAATAAAATTAATAAATCTCGTCTGATTCCAATTTTGTACCCCAAAATGAGCAAAAATAATATTTTGAGCACATAATATGAATAGTTAAAATCGTCTGTGCACGAATAAAAAGCACATCGTTGAATAGAAATTTGGATGTTTTTTTTTCAGGTATGGCAAAAAAAAGAGAAATTCGAATGTATAGGGTGTTGTTTTCTGGCAGAAAGAATTTGTGAATTTTAAGTGAAGCCGGACCTGGATTTTATCTTTTGTTGTTGCCTCAATCAATTCCACAGGGTAGATTGAGCAAGTGTACCAATTTTTGAAAATATATACAGGTTGGTTGGAAAGTTATGAGAAAATGAAGTTATGGACAAAATTGATGAAACATCCTGTATCTCGGTTATAAGAAGTCGAAGACCCATTACCCATGGGTTTTTTCAAATCACCCCAGTGACCCCTATCCACATTTGAATTATTTACCTTTCCCAATGAAACACCCTGTATAAAAAATAGTGTTGAACCTGCTTGAAAGGCCTCCCCCTATCCTCCCTAGGTACGCACGATGTTCCACGAACATAATAGGAATTTCCTTTCGTGCGCTTCAAGAGATAAAACAATTGTTGAACATTCAGAGATAAATGATTTCGTGGATGTTTACTTGATTGAGGATCATAAAGTTGAAATATAAATATCTCATATATTTTACATAATAATGCGCGAAGTAGGTACTTCGCGCACTATTTTACTTCGCGCATTGTATTGTACAAGGTATCATGGTAACGTAGGAAACTGAAGAAAGTATAACTTCGCAATTTGTTATCAATGCGCGGACCTTGTCATTTTTTGACGTTTGTTAAAAAACATTCTTTTGAATCGCTTCATTCCGTGATGATAGAACAAAAGCAGTATATGCTGTTATCTGAATATGTCTGAATCAATGTTCATTGTTCTCAATGTGTTAGGTATTCTCATATTTTGCCAAAATGTGTGTTGGTGATACTTTCATGTTATTAATTATTATTTTCATTAGATTAGATATATCGAAGACTGGAACCTTTGGCATTACTAACCTCAAGTTAGCTAAGCGAGTTGATAATATCAAAAAATTAAACGCATATGAATGCTTAGAGATACCTATTCCATATAATCAGACGAACTAGACAAGCCCAGTCAGCACTTTCTTTCGTTGTCAACCTCGAAAGATGTCGAACAGCACTTTATCAAGACTCCTTCATCCAAAGAACGGCTAGGCTCTGGAATTCATTGCCTGTGGAAGTATTCCCATCAACATATAATCTCCGAAAGTTCAAAGAAAATTCCAATACCTACCTCCTGTCCCTATCCTCCCTAGGAACGCACGATGTTCTTTGAGCATTATAGGGATTCCCTTTCGTGCGCTCCAAGCGATAAAAAAAAAATAACCCTCAATATAGTTTATCAATATAAAAGTAAAATTAACTTGTTATCGGTTGGGTGAACATATTCCAAGTATATAAACAGCACACTAGAATAGGATATTTAGTTTTTAACTATTAAAATTTGTAGGCGCTGAATTGTTCGCCAAGAGACGCAAACGCTCTGAGAAGTGGGTGGTCGGAGAGACCAACGGCACCAGACAGACTCCGGAGGTACCGGAAATAGCCCCCACTCCGGTGCCCCTCTTATCACCGCTGCCGCCAATCAGCAGCTTTCCTCCGCCGAGCTACCTGCCGGAGACGGCCGAGAGGTTGCAGCACAAGCAGAAATTGGACGGGATACAGGTAAATCGTGGAAAAACCATCCATTTATTATTGAAGAAGTCCAGAATTTTTCATAAGTATTTGATAGCACACTAGGTGATACTATTCCGCCGGAAATACTATCGACGATTGGTACGACAGCTTGATGCCTCATTTTCGCGAATGATATTGTTTATCAAAACTTTTGAGATGTGTGGGCGAGAAGCTTTGGAACTATGTCATGATCATACTTGCTGATGCTGAATCTACTGAAAGTTCAGGCCTGCATACAATCTTTTATAGATTCCGAAGAAGCCAAAATACCTTGGAATGAAAAATCTATGCTCTGATATCATTAAGTTTGTGTCCTCAATCACCTCGCCTGAAACAAATAATGCATTGAAATTTGATGTACACTACTCAATGATTTGATTAATCTACCGTCATTTTCTAATTTCTGAGGAAATGTCATCATCAACAGATTATGAAGCTTGTTATTGTTATTTTTTATATAAAAACTTTCGAATGGGGAATTCATGATGGAAATATGCGATATGTCATGATATAACCTCAATTCTAGTTATTTTTCGTGTATGACAAATTGATATTCATAATACAGGAATTGGAAACAAAATATGAATTGAGAAAACCTGATCACGAATCTGCGATTATGAAGGTCCATATAAATAACAAGTTTTTATCGTTCAATAAGTTTGAGCATCTTGAATAGGTAAGAGCATTGAAAGGGGATATTTCAGAAGAATTATGAACATGAAAAAATAAATATACACTTCTCCCAAAAATTAACGCACCACCAAAAAATACCCAAAAGTTTGAGGTACATTTTTGTCAAAACCACTTGTTCGATTTGAACGTTTTTGGTTTTGAATGACAGGTTATCTCCTTTTGAACAATGGTGTGCAATTTGTATTCGTAAAAAAATCTATTTTCTATGAATACCGAGTATAGCAATTGTAGCGTGTTTTTTTTCATAAAGTTTGTAATACAATACCCTGTAGAGTGTAACAGTTACATTATCAAGTTAGAATTGTAATTACACTTTAGCCTCATCTTTTTCCAACATTTCTTTTTTGGATTCACTCCATCATCTTTCCTATTACTCCAGAAACACCAATTCAAAGCATAACATGATTTTATTGGATTGAACTAGCATTACCAGCACATCGGTGACAGGCTATGGGAAAATATGGAGTATAAACCAGTAATTGTCAAATACAGATGCATATTGTCAGTGTTAGTTCTTGTTCTGCGAATTGTTTTATCGACGAATATGCAAAGAGAAACGCGAAATCTCACACGGGTAGAATGTGCTCAAACATTGATATTGTTTGAGGAAGGTTGGAATTACCGAAGAGTTGGTGAACGATTTCAAGTAAGTCACAAAACCATTTCATCAAGACAACGTTTTGTAACAGCTCGGACACTCCAAACTCAACTTCGAAATGCTAATGATTTACAAGTTTGTACAGAAACTGCTCGTCAGCGACTCAATGAACATAATTTGAGACCTAGAATTTGCTGCTCGAGGTCCTAAGTAGAGATCATCGGAGAGCGAGGTTAAATTTTGCCAGTGAACATCGTAACTGGTTAGAGGCTGAATGGCAACATGTTTTATTCACGGATGAGTCAACATTCGTATGCCTGTATATCGACGCCCTATCGAAAGGTATTCTCAGTGTAATTTCTCACAGACCACATTATTCGGTGGAGGATTTTTGATGATCTGGGGCGGTATTTCTTTGACTGGTCGTACGGAACTTGTGATCGTAAATGGAAGCCTTACAGCAGAATGGTACATATTGGAGATTTTAGAACCACATGTAATGCCATTTGCGCCTTATATGGGGCAAGACTTTTCGTTGATGCAAGATAATACCAGGCCTCACGTCGCCCGAGTTGTAAGCAATTATCTAGAAGAAGTCGATATCGGTATGGCCAGCATGAAGCCTGGATTTGAACCCCATTGAGAATCTCTGGGATATTCTTGAAGGAAGATTACGAAAGTAACCTAACTTGAATACATTGGAAGGCGTTCGGCAGAGACTAATTCAAATATGGGAATACCTTGACCAAAATGACATAAGGTATCTTATTTTGAATATGTGCCGTCGTTGCAAAGAAGTTATTCGTGCCCGAGGCGAAAATACTAATTTGTTTCTTTGCATTCTGTTTTGTTTTTTCGTTGTTAGATTTGGATGTTAATTTTCAATAAAATCATGTTATTCTTTGAATTGGTGTTTCTGGAGTAAAAGGGGAAGATAATGGAGTGAATCCAAGAAAGAAATGTTGAGAAAAGATTAGGCTTAAGTGTAATTACAATTCTAGCTTGTTAATGTAATTGTTGCACTCTACTGGGTATTACAAACTTTATGCATTTGTCTACACCCGGTATGCATAAAGAAGAGGTTTTTATGCTAATAAAAATTGCACACCATTGTTCAGAAGGGGATAACCTTCATTCAAAATCAAAAACGTACAAATTGGACTAGTGGTTTTGACAAAAATCTACCTTAAACTTTTGAGTATTTGTTGGTGGTGCGTTCATTCCTGGGAGAAGGTACATAAAGTGTGTGCGATTTCAACCCGCAACACCCTCCTAATTTGGAACCAGTCGACGGATTTTCAAAAACTAAAATTTCATAATATAGTAGTCAATGAGCTCACTCTGAACAAGTGGACACATCTAAAATATTCAGATTCTCAAGGCCTACCTTTGTTGGTTTAAAGGGTCAAAATTTCAGAAACAACTATTAGGCATTTTTTCCGAAACAGTGACTAGCCCATTCGATTCAGGCATAGCTGGAATACCTCCATACATGATTTGAACGCAATAACTTATATAGGGTGTTAGTTATTCATTGGCAAATTTCATAATTCACGCTATTCGGAACCACCCTCTAATGAATTTCAAGGAGTTGATATAACCAGTGAGACGGTCATTCAATGAAGAAACGCATAGAATAATTGGAAACGAAGTTTCATCATTGTAAATTTCACAGGAACATGTTCCTATAGAACAACCAAAAATCAGTAAAACTATAGAAGTTGAGGTTCGCCATTTTGAAACCTCGAACAAACCGTTTTTCACACACTTCATCACACAGTAACATTGAAAATCGTCCCTATTGACGAAGAACAAAATCTTCAATGAATAAATTAGAAATGACTTATGTAGTATACAGAATTCCTTGTCAGAATTGTGAATTGACTTATATTGGCCAAACTTCCAGGAATTTATCAGGACGCATAATTTCACATAAGAGTGACAGCAAATGTAATAAAAGAACTTGTGCATTAGCAGAGCATGTTAATGATGAGGGTCACCATATGAATTTCAATGATGTCAAAATTTTAGCTCATGAAAATAATTATCTCAAACGAAATTTCCCTGAAATGGTTTTTATCAATAATGAACTTTCGAAAATGAATAAAAGAACAGACATTGGCAACTTGAGTAGCATTTATAATTATTTACTTGCAATAGAACAAAAAAATTGTATTCCTAATAACATATCTAGATTATCACAAACAATTCCTCAACCTTAATTTCTTGTCCCACCACCCAATCAATTGTCAAATTTACCGCCACGGTTCCCTTTCTTCTCTCACAACGGTCGTCGGTCTGAAACGATTTCCACCGAAGTAGTTGGCATTTCCGACTCTTTCAACCGTCCATTTTGTTTTCAAAGGTCCGTTACGGAAAAGAAATGAAACCTGTGGATTGATTCCTATTGCTTTTTATCCTAAAATTATGAAATTAAAAAATGTTTTAATCGTCAAATTCAGCTGAAGATGCAACTGTTATGTATTTCATTGTGTTTTATACCAATCTCACGTTAGTGAGTACTTTTTTTTATCATTGACAAAGTTTTTTCACTTACCCATTTTTTATAGATGTCTTGATAAAGGAAATAAACATTTCCGAAAGCTCGGTTATGTAACAAAGAGTCCTCTCATTAAGGCCAAAATTTTGACTGCAACCTCACCTAGAAAAATTTCATTTGGAACTGTTTCTAAAGTTAATGTATTTTTATATATATATATATATATATATATATCTAAATCCATTTGCTTATGTTTATCATTTATCTGAGAATATTCCTATTCAATCAATTCTAGTTCTTCTTCTTCTTCCTTTTGGCTTGGTAGACACGTTATTTCATGGAATGTTATCTGAAGACATCCACTCAGGCAAGAAATACATAGGCTGTCACTGAAAATACTTATCTAGAACAATTATGGGACAATAACGGCGCTAAATCTTTGCCTGATAATGTTCTTGGGTTGTAAGAAATAGGACGTCCTCTCCAGGCGTTTTGCGAAACATTGAGGAAGACCTTAGGCGATTGAATGCTATCTGGGTATTTGGTATTTGGTGAACCGAAATAAGTGTCTGTCATTGAATTTTTCAATGAAAATATCATATACTTTGAGATATCAAATCAGCAGACATGATGCGATCATGTTTTTGAGGTAATTTTCAATCTTTTTCGACTTCTGGAAACGCTCAAAGGAGCCGTCGACAGGGATAGTGAAACCCCATTTTACCTTCGGCAGGAGAAATAGTATACTTAGCATCAATATGGAGTTTGCCAACATACAGTGAGTCTGTCGATCGCTGGCTCTGCTATATATAATATCACTTATTATTGATTTGATGTTCAAGCAACCCTACTTTCACGATTTGTTCACGTCGAAGAGTTAAAAATTTTAACTTCTTTGAGATGAGTTTTCCGTATTAAAACCGACCAAAACTAGAAATTTCTCTTACATCTCTATGAATGAATATCATCTAAGCTTGAAAAATATGATATCAGGTCTTATGTCCAAAATTTTCATTCAAACATTCGATTGAAAGAAGCATTGGGAATGATGCATAAAACGACAGATCTAACCAGAAAAGTGATGTTGTCACTATAATCTCCATCTGAATCATGATGAGAAAAAAGGTGATAAAAATTCAATGTTTCTATAAATTGTGACCAAGGAAACAAACATCAACATTTCAAAGATGAACACGG